ATATAAGCCTACATATTCGATTAAAATCAGCAATCAAGTATAGTGTCTAGATGGAGAGCACTTTCAAAAAGACCGTCCGCCTTATCTCTCATGCCAACAATCAACCTTGGCCCCTCTTTGAATGGCACCACGTGTCCATGAATGGAGTCACTCTTGGATCAATTTCTATTTTTGCTACTTGGAAAGTCTAACGATTTTAACATACTACTATCGTACATACCCACTCGCCCTACCTACCTACCTACCGACCAAACCAAACCCAAGAAAACACGATGAGAGGTAAAATGCACGTCTATTGCACTCATTTTCACGCTTCAAATCGTATTTTAATTAAAGAAGGAATTTTTATTTATTTTTATTACAAGACCAAGTCATTATGATATTATAGCTATTTCAAAGTCATTATGATATTATTATTCTTAATTATAGGATTATTTGGGGAGTACACATGCAGCCATTACTTATTTTTCACAAAATAATGATGATTAGACTGATCATCATCTATACATAATTAATTATGTACATAGAATTTGTCGACTTTATTAGAAAAAAAACACATCTCAACTTTCGGGTTAATTTCATCAACGACATTGAAACATGCAAAGAGTTTCAAAATGGCCATTGATTATTTTTTTATAGTAGTAAATCAATTTTTTAACGATTACATCAGTAGTCACCCATCTTTAAACATAACCTAAAATCCTTTGTGTCGCCGTTAAATCCCACCATGAATGCAAACAATGTTATTAGTACGTCAGGTTAGATCGAGTCATGTTTCATTAATTATAATTGTTACGACTCGTCACTAGGGACTGCCATGTGGTCATCAGAATTAAGCTGTAAGACCCGATCCGAATCAACCACCTTATCCGAGGCCCTGCCATCAGCAGAGGCCAAATTACTTCTAAGGCACCTCTTGAATTCGAGGCTCTGTTATCAGCAGAGGCCCAATTGTAGGCTCGCAGCTTGTGACGGTTCACGTGCAAGGATTTGCTCATGATAAAGATCTTTGTTTGAATGGTTGATGTGACCTTTGTGAAAAGTGCATTTGTGTCTGTCTTGTCAATAAAAAGGCAATTAATGTTTTGTAAAGCTAGGATGGCTAGGACTCGATGCTTTGGGCAGGAGATGAGGCCACATGTAATTTGATCCAAGTGTCACCATTCCATTTGTAACACTATCAACACCCCCACCATGTAACAATTGAAGGCCAATGAAACTTTAAATACTCAAAGCAATTCATCTTACTCTCTTATCAATTTATTAGAACTACAAATTTTGTTCTTATTGATTGATCATTGTACAATTTTATATTCCGTAAACCCCACCAAAGCTTGAACAGAAACGTCTCGTGTCGTTGAACTTCTCCCACGTCCAATCATTGGAGCGATCTTGACCGTTGATCTACCTTAGCGTGTTGGATATGGCTTACGCATGCACGAGTGGATCCGACATCTATTGAGTTCGTTTTCTGAGTTCAACAATAATAAAAAAAATTTTTAGCAGATATTTTGATTTTCTTGCATAAAGAAAATTATACAAAGAGGCACACTGGCACAGAGTATATCCCAACCTCTACAAGGAACTAGGTTCCAAAAAAATAAACTCCACGAGTTAATCACATGGACAAATAGAATCTAATTTTTTTGAAAATACGTCCTGAAATATTGATTGCTTATTACATGTCCTTCTACCTCTTATGGTCGAGCAGATTGGGAGCATACGATTCTACTCTGATGTTCCGAATTGTGTTACGTAAAAGGACACGTTGGATGATACTTCATCTACCAAATCTACCTGGAAGCTAGTTCACTTGCACGGAGTGACTATGAGTATAATCATCATAAACTTGAGTGATTGCTTTTATAAAAAAATTACTTTAATTACTATTTTGATTTTCTTTTATAAACTTCAGTCACCGCCGTTGAAAATAAACTCGTCGACTTCATATCCTTTAATATGATTTTTAATATTAAGGGATTTATTTTTGTTTACTAATTTGATCATTATTAATTTATTTTCATGTAATTGAGTTTTGAGAAGTCAAGAGTCCAACATCAAAAAATTACTCGGACACTGTTCATTCAGTGAAGGTGTAAATGATGAATAATGTTGAATTAATTAGACTAAATTGACTAAATCAAGAATCTCTCAAGAATTTAGATTCATATAACGACCAAGCAATATATTTAATTACAAAATATTCAAGTGCAATTTCAAATTGGTAGCTAAAACATTTTTATGTTACATTTAGTCACCAAATTGGTCAATCCTTTTGACTACTACATAGCTACTACACCTGATAGGCACTGGAGGAGTGACCAATTCACAACAGGTTCTATTTGGCCAATACACAACTTGAACCGTGTTTTAGTTTAATGTATGTAATTGTTTCTATATGAAGGAAGCAAGAAAGCCCGGAGAAGCAGTCAGAGAAGAGAATCAGAAGTAATGGCAGGAGGCGAAGGTGGTGGTGAGGGATTATCCTTAGAGTACACACCAACATGGGTGGTTGCACTCGTCTGCACCGTGATTGTTGCCATTTCTTTAGTTGTCGAAAGGTTGCTCCATTATGCTGGCAAGGTGAAAATTTCACACCGAGCAGTTCCTAATAGTTTAAGTTTTTAGACGAGATGATAATTATATCTTGTGTCTTTTAGTCATTAGTTCCTGGCATAATTTTGAATATGGATTGCAGTACTTGCTGAAGAAAAACCAGAGGTCTCTCTTCCAGGCTTTGCTAAAAATCAAAGAAGGTCTGACTTAATTAAGTTCTACTTAGTCTGAGAAGAAAAATAATTAACCTCCTCTCTTATTGATGCAGAATTGATGCTGTTGGGATTCATATCTTTACTCCTGACTGTGTTTCAAAGCAGAATTACAAAAATATGCATTCCTAAACACTTAACCAATCACTGGCTTCCCTGCAAGAAGCCAACTGAGGCAGGCACAAAAGCCACCGCTCATTTTGAAGACTTCTCTTTGTTTATTACGCGAGGACGCCACCTTCTTGCAGCAGCTTCTGATAATGCAGGTTACTGTGATGCTAAGGTAATTTTTCACTTCTTAGAGGCTCTTAAGTTGATAAAGAGGGAACACGTTTTTTTTTTTTTGTTTAAATTTAGTAGGCTCAACCCTAATGTCGTTGTGATTGAATATGATCGATCAGGGGAAGACACCTTTATTATCTCTTAAAGCAGTGGAAGATCTTCATATCTTCATATTCGTGTTAGCTGTTGCTCATGTAGTTTTCTCTGCCTTTACAATTCTCTTTGGGGGATTGAAGGTACCTACTTATTTTAAGATTACTTCAAACGCGTCTTTCAACTTGAATGTTTTTACTAAAATTTTCGTACACAGATACGCCAATGGAGATACTGGGAAGATTCTATTCAGAAAAGAGAAAATGATCCAGAACAAGGTAATCAACTATGCACAATCTTAATGCTTCACTTTAATTTGCTATCTAATGTTTCATTTGGAATTTCTTTTTTTCCTCAGCTTCCAAAACTAAGGTTACACATGTCCACGAACATGCTTTCATCAGGTCGAGGTTTTCGGGTATTGGTAGGATTACTTTGTTCAGTTGGCTAGTAAGTGCAAAATCCCTCTCAAGAAATTAATCCCTCTCCATGAAAATAAGTAATTTCAAAATATGAAGAACTTATAAGTTAAGATGAATTAGACTTGAAGAAAATTACTTGTAGGATTATGCTTGGTTACACATATTGTTGTGGTCACATTTTCTTCCCTTTCTTTACTTTCAGAAATCATTCTTCAAGCAGTTCTACGGATCCGTCAATAAATCAGATTATACAACTCTGCGACTTGGTTTCGTGATGGTGAAGCACTAAACTCCTCAATTCATTAATTGAAAGTGAAGTTTTAGTTTTGTTTATCGATGGGAATTTTATCGTTTCTGATCAATTTGCATTTGGTGCAGACTCACTGTAGGGGAAATCCAAAGTTCAACTTTTATAAGTACATGACTCGTGCTCTCGAACACGATTTTAAGAAAGTTGTAGGAATAAGGTAAGCTACACAATATTTAAAAAATTTCTACACTTCTAAAGCCAATTGCACTTGTTTTTCCATTTTTTTTCCAACTCAGAGTCTCTCTAACTTTAAATGTCAATTGGCAGTTGGTATCTATGGGTTTTTGTGTTTGTTTTCTTGTTGCTGAATGTTTACGGTAAGACATTCTGGACTTTTTTTCTCAATTTTCTTTGGACTCGGTTTCTTATAAGTTGATAACTTACATTTTTTGTGCAGGTTGGCATGCATATTTTTGGATCTCATTCTTTCCCCTGATCGTAAGTAGCGCAATCATAACGGCATGACTAACAAGAGATTTAACATGAAGTTGGACGATCAAATTGGAACGAGAAAATTTCCTAACTCTTTGTCATATTAATTGTATGCAGCTTTTGCTTGCTGTGGGCACTAAACTTGAGCATATTATCACACAATTGGCTGAAGAAGTTGCTCAAAAACATTCAGCTGTTGCAGGGGACCTGATAGTTAGGCCTTCTGATGATCATTTCTGGTTCCAAAAACCGCGTCTTGTCCTTGTGTTGATTCATATAATTTTATTCCAGAATTCCTTTGAGATTGCTGTTTTCTTCTGGATGCTGGTAACCAAAAAAACACATTAATTTGTCTTCCTTTCTTTCACTTTTTTCTTTTTCATTAATCAAAATGGGTGCAGGTTATATTTGGTTTTGACTCATGCATCATGGGACAAGTTGGTTATATTGTTCCCAGACTTGTCATAGGGTATGTACATTGCGCACACACAAAAACACAGTAAATTTAGAGAAATCTTAAGCAGAAAAACAGAGACATTAACAAATTTGAAGGCAATATGGTGCAGGGTTTTTGTGCAGTTTCTTTGCAGTTACAGTACCCTACCACTGTACGCAATTGTCGCGCAGGTAAAACATTTCCTTTATATTCTTCCACCAATTTGAGTCTGATGGTAAAAGATTTCCTCTCATTACTTTTGGTGGTACTTATGAAGATGGGAAGTTCATTCAACATCGCCATATTCGATGATCATATAAAAGCGGGTTTGGTAGGATGGGCTCAAAAGGCTAAAAAGAATAAGGGACTGAGGAAAGTTTCAGCGGCTGTTGGTGGTAGGGTTGGTGGCTCTAACCAAGTGGTGCGTCAAGATTCTCCTGTGGCTGTGAGATCAGTTGAGATGGTAGGAAAGGAAGATGCAGAGTCTGCAATGTATCAAGGCAAAGCACCAGAAATCCAGCCTGCTATGACTCTCCCATAATCAACTTGAGAATTTGTTACATTCTTGAATATGTGTGTGTTATATTAAGCAATAAGTTCTAATTCCTTGTAAATTTAGCAAACTCTAAAGTCAGGAATCAAAGTTGGATATTGTGTACAGTAGTTGATAGTCAGGAATCAAGATGATATGTTTCATGAATCATGAACATTAAGAAATTTTATCACATTCTAATTTATAAATGAAAGTTGAAGTCGTAGCTGGACTCTTATTGAAATAAAAATAAAATCTTTTGAACGATTTTTACCCATATGTTCGAAATCACGTGAGCGTCACTTGGTAAATGTTGAAACAATTAAATCTGACTTGGTAAATGTCATTTCATTTCTTTAATTCTTGTTTAGATGAACAAGTGTTTGTCAAGGCTTCAACTAGAAAGAACACCCTAAATCCAAATTCTATAGAAATCCTACTGTAACTACTCTTTTCATTTAAGAACACGTTCAGTTGATACGTTTTATAATAAAAATGCAACGTTTTCAGGTTAAAATCATTGTTAGATCCTCTATTCAGGCTCAAAATTTTATAGCAATCACCAAAGTTAAATTGTTTTAGAATAGTTGAAACTTGTTTCTCTTTTAATTTGGTCATTGAGGTAAAAATCTATTTAATTTTTTTCTACCAGAATGTTCGACATGTAAAAGATTAATCAAAGAATCAATATTGAAGTCTTACCAATTCGACCATTTTGTTAAGAAAACCAAAGGTATGTTCTATTTGCTATTTTCATACCATATTCAGTTTTGTTTTCGAAAACAGTGAAAATACGTCTACTTACCTATTCTCAGCAATAAATTTCCAAAAATGAGTTTAAAATTTACAAAGAAAACGAAAAATGCCAAAAAAGTCGTTTAAACCGTTTTCATTTAAAATCAAGTCAAAACTTCAAAACGGCCTATTTTGCCAATAGCGGAATAGCTTAGTTTGGAGGGTCGCGGATTTTCTGAAAGTCACGAGTTCGATTCCGTTTCACCGCAATTTAATACAAATGAATTTTCTTTTTATATGCACAGCATAAAAGTTTTCAAATAAATTAGTAGGTGGCTCAAATTCGAATTCGAGTCACCAGCATGAAATTTCAATGCTTTAACTACAATGATAGCCGCTTTTGCTTTGTTATATAAGTAAAAGTACTATATATATTGAATAATCAAATTTTCAAAATTAGAAAGTAAATACGTTTTTTATTTTTGAAAACAATTTTTCAAAATGATAAAAGAAATGCTATTTCAACAATCTCAAAATAGACACTCAAAACATAAAATGAATTCAAAACTTAAAACTAAAAATGGAAACACGAAGAGAACATCCCCTAATAGATTTTAGAATTATTCTTGTGGTACATGGACACCCTTATGTATCTTGTGATGTACCACAAGAATTGTCCTAGATTTTAACTTGGCGACCAAACTGAAACCAAAGAAAAAAACAAAACTCAATTATCATTTTCCAAAATAGGGTTCAGTTACACCTACCAATAGAGATGGCAAGACACTCCAATCCCAGCCCCAACCTGCTCCATTCGAGCCTTAGTTTCACAGTTAATCGATGAATCCAGGTAGGGACGGGAATCATGGTGACTACCCTAACTCTCATTTGAATTTTCACCATTATATTTTTAAATTTAAATTGTATTTTTAAATTTTAAATAAGTAAAGAAAAAGGGAACGAGAAATGGAGATACTTTTATGTCCACCCCGCCCAACCCTGTTGCCATCCCTATCCGCCAGCTACCGCTACTAAAGGCCGACTTATAGGAGATTTTGCCAGCTTGTAGTAACAAGCAATTGCCCAACTTTGTCCTGTGAAATACCCGTCCTTGCAATTAAATACTATTTTCAGAAAAATCAATATAAAGGACTTGAACCCCCTCCTTATGTTACTACTACAAGACCAGCTCGAGTATGAATAGAGTGACTGACTCGCGAAGGAAAACAGTGGACACAGCGTATCGAAGATTTGATTAAAGTAAAATTCTTCAAATTATACAGTCATTGTGCATATATCAATCCAAGACTCTGAAACCTTCCATTAATAATCATCACCTCGAGATACCACTTCTTTGCAAGTTGGACGAAGTAGAATTGTATGCTCAAACTGCGATACATAGCTTCCCTTAATGTCACAGAGAGGAGGATAAGGCTGCCACAGATTAAACAAAACGTTCTGTCAATTTTTTATTTAATTTGAAGACCTGTATTGTAATAGTCGATACAACAAAAAAGTTTCCGCATCTCTAACAGTCTATACATTGAATATAAAGAATAAGGTTACCGGCTTCAGCAAATTCAAATGTGTAGCACAATGCAGTGGCCAATAAAAAAACGCAAGTTTCAAGAATTTTCATCAAGTGATGAGCACCACTTGAAAATGAGGGTGGCACAACAATGCATTTTCAGTAAATGAATAGTGCTTGGAGTGGATTCTCAAGCTTGATCTTGGCTGACATAGGGTTTGATTGAGTGCATCCCCAATAAGCTATAGCTTTTGGAAAAAAAATAGTTTCATCTCTCTACATCAATTGATATCAGAGATGGAGATTTTCTGTTCGATTCTCCAAGAAAAGGAGAATGATGTGGAGCATCAATAGAAAATGAGGGTGGACCAGTTTGAAAGGGAATCTTCGACATAAAGCCCAAACAAATAATACTTGGGGTGAATTCTCGGGCCTGATCAATCTTGGGTGACATGGGGATTGAACGTGCCTCTCTCAACAGCTGTAGCTTTTGGGATAAATGATTGCATATAACTTAAACCTCTACTTGATCTAAGCTTCTGTTGAGAAAGCCTCCACTCTTCTTTTGGGAAAAGTGAAAAAGTAGTTGCAACTCCCTACAAGTTGAGAAAGCTCGTGACAGCTGAATTTATGCAAATAAAGAATATAGGTTCAAGAATAGATAAAAAATTTTGATTGATCCCTGGACCAGACCACTTTACAGTCTCATACCTGACAAATTAATATGAAGTACTTCTGATTGCTAACATTTAGAAGCAATAAAGCATCAAGCAACTGTTAATGTACATGTATGCATTGTGTGGTAAAGAAACTTAACAAAGTCCAGATGGACTTGGTTCCTTGCGGAGTCAGACTAAAACAGGAGGACACATACCTGGACGATACCAGCATCACACAAGTTCTTTAGTGCCATCAGATATTTAGTTTCTCCTAAGCGGTCAAGATAACGTCTGCAGAAAGCCAATGTAGAGAAATTCTTATTAATTGTTGCCAGTAGTTGTTTTGCTCTAGGTAACCGCAGTGGAATGTGACCAGCATCAAAATTCTTCATATAATGGCTGCATTCAAGATCTTCTCTGGCATATCCCTTCCCTGCACGCAACAAAAGGCAGGCAAAAAGGTTTGTACACAGTTCATCCACCGAAACCATGTCTATCAGATTCAACCGCATAGATCCACCCTTTATGGAAAGAAGACGTTACCTGTGGATCCAAAAGTTTCGATTGCATAAAATTCACCCTCTTCCATTTTTGTTTGCTCTCCTCCTTTCACAATAGGAACAGATTTCCCCGCATGGATTTGATAACATCCAATGCTATGGCCATTTAAATTTCGGATACTTTTAACTGCCAGAACAGACAATTAGTTGAGCTTGACAGTTAATCGTATGAAGGCCTTAAAAAGTTAAAAACATTTCAAAATCCTATAACTGAGTATTTGCTATGTTATCGGGACCATAAAAGATAAGGGAAGCATCAAATGTTTTTGATTTTCAGTCAGCAATTAATCTTTTTTCCTACATATGGTTGTCAATTTATTTCTTACAAACCTTGAAAGTATAATAACATAGATGACCTCTAATTTTGGCACAGTAAACATTTATTGATCTCCAAATATCTAAATATAGAACTTAATCTAGCTTTAATTTGCCTGACAATTTCAACATATGAGAAGGCACGAACCAGCATAGTGCTCAAAACATCAGGATAACAAACCAGTAATGCATCTCATACAAGCTACATAAATTTAGCCAATGGTTATACCTTGGAACACCTTTCCATTGATTTCAACCTCATATGACTCCATGACCTCTTGAATTGCAGACCCAACATCACCTAGGCGCACATCAATCCCAGCTTCCTGTTTCAAAACAAAATTTCATCAATTGCTCCTAAATTTTCGCCAGATATCTAAGCCAGATAATTTCACACTTGGCCCCTGTTTGAGCCACATTATTTTTTTTTTATTCTCATTCTTCTCCTCATTTTCACCCACACGTTCTTAATAAAAGAATATTTTTAATCACATCAATAAATTTCCCTTCTTTTTCAACCACATATTCCCCATCACATCAAACAAAAAATGCATTCTTGGACTCCAAATGTGCACCAAACATGGGCTTTGTCAGAATTTCGGTTCTTATAAGTCGTGCATTTGAATAAAGTTAGCCACCCACCTTGATTCCAGTATTGGTAGCTTCACGTGAGGCCTCGAGCAGTGGACTAAACATGGGATTGAATGCCACGGTAAATGCACAATCCACTATATGCCCTGTAAATGAAGTTTAGCAAATATTTGAGACAATCCAACAATCGAAACAAGAAAAAAAAATACAGTCTCATAAAAGGCTTCCAAAAAATTTGAGAATGTAAGTAAATGAGAAGCGATATTACCATCAATATGAGTTCCAAAGTCCAGTTTCATCACATCGTCATACTGAAGGACAGTTTTATCTCCAGAATTCGGGGTCCAATGGGCAGCAACCCTGCAATAAAGAACAGACAGGAAGCAGGCAGATTAGTAGCATTTCAAAGGGATTAAAGAATGGAATTGAAAAGAATCTCAAAACATCAAAAATAAAAATTGGTTTCTAATCTAGTTNTTTCATTCTCATTCTTCTGCTCATTTTCAACCACACATTTTTCAATAAAATAATATTTTTCATCACATCAACAAATTTTCCTTCTTTTTCAACTACATATTCCTCATCACATCAAACAAAAAAATGCATTCTTGGACTCCAAATGTGCACCAAACATGGGCTTTGTCAGAATTTCGGTTCTTATAAGTTGTGCATTTGAGTAAAGTTAGTCACCCACCTTGATTCCAGTATTGGTAGCTTCACGTGAGGCCTCGAGCAGTGGACTAAACATGGGATTGAATGCCACTGTAAATGCACAATCCACTATATGCCCTGTAAATGAAGTTTAGCAAATATTTGAGACAATCCGACAATAGAAACAAGCAAAAAAAATACTCATAAAAGGCTTCCAAAAATTTTGAGAATGTAAGTAAATGAGTAGCGAAATTACCATCAATATGAGTTCCAAAGTCCAGTTTCATCACATCGTCATACTGAAGGACAGTTTTATCCCCAGAATTCGGGGTCCAATGGGCAGCAACCCTGCAATAAAGAACAGACAGGAAGCAGGCAGATTAGTAGCATTTCAAAGGGAGTAAAGAATGGAATTGAAAAGAATCTCAAAACATCAAAAATAAAAATTGGTTTCTAATCTAGTTATCCAAAATTTCCAAAATGAAGTGAGCCGGCCATGCGGCAATTTAGAAATACCAGTTCAAGGAGCAGCCTGTAGGAAATGCAATACCAGCCTGTAGACCATTCTCTGCTATTAATTTACGAACTGTATTCTCCAAGGTCTCACACAGGTCAGTCATCAACATTCCAGGCTTCAAAATTTGCTTGATGTACTTCCGTACCTGACAAAGATATAAATAATTTGGAAAACCACGCCGACCAGAATGAATTTCTAAAACAAGCATACTATATGCCAATGTACACACAAGCATACTCGAGGATGTAATGCTAAACGACAACCTGACGGTGGACCTCTGCCGCTTGACGAACAGAATTATAGATTGGTTTTTCCAGTCGTTCCAATTCCCTCTTCTCCTCGGATGTAGTCCTCCACAAGTTACTACGTTGAACAGTATTTGATAAAATAACCATTTGGATTTCCAGCAATACGAGACAAGAAGAGATCACGCGGAACATAAACTAAGAAATCTTATGAATACAAAATAAAATATGAGATGTAATTGGACTCAAATCACATATCGAACTGAAAAGACCAGTACTCCAACAAAGTTGGAAGCTTCCAAAACATATATATATAAAGCCTTTCATGTATATTACCATCAAGAAACAGCATAAACAAGAGACACCACATCTAAATTTATCAAACTGGGGTCTCCTATATCCCAGTCTTGCTAAAGCAACTATGAGAAAAGTGGAGACTGGTAACCTCATTCACAGTTCCTCCTACTTGACCAATCTAAAAGACCTTCTCTCAATGACCGGAACTTTGAAAAATAGTTGCTACCAGAGCAAAAGCTCCCTGTATTTATTGTCCAGATCCTGTTTAGCTCCATACAAAATACCCCAGCTGAACACAGCTGTTTTATCTCCTGTAAATCCGCACCCTCAATGCCTCCATCTAAAAAGAATATTAATGCTATCTGAATTTGAAACAGGAAATAAAAGTCCCCACTAGTTCATCTTCAATGCATTTCGTCTTTCACTCACTTCAGGCAACCTACCTAAGACTAGCACCCAAGTAAATACACTATGTACTTCTTTCAGAAAATAATCAATGTATCACATCCCCGTTCAACTTTGTCACGTGACAAGAAAAAGTTAAATAAACGTACTCATCTGCATATTGTTGAATTTCGCCCTCTGGAAACTCGCCGGATGGGAAAAGTTCAATCACGGGAATAGATGGAGGATCAGTTTGCTGAGGTGGTTCTTTTTTCTTCCTGCAGATTGCAAGTTAATTTCAAAGTCTCGAATAAAGAGAAGGACAAGGCAAATATGTGAAAGAGACAAAGAGTACGTCTCACTTGCTTTTACTTTTCTTCTTCTTCTTTTTTGCAGCTTCTGAATATTCCAGATGCATGCAATAAATGAGTCAGAGAAAAAAAAGAGCAAAAACTGAACAAACTGATATCGAGACCAAGAAAATACATTTTAATAGTAAATTACTGAAATTCGTAACATTAAGCCAAACTAAAAATAAACACCATCATGGTTGCAAACTTGAACAGCATATACCAATAATCACAAACTAAACGAAATCACACAAAATTAATGTGAATGGAAACAACACCATCAAAAGCTACAGTGCTACAAGCAAATGCCAGATTCTGGATGGTCTCATTGTCAATATCTGCAACATGATCAATGCCATCTTCTTCTCGGCATTTGTTAAACGAGATTCAACGCAACAAAATGAGAATATTTATAATGCCAACTACACTACAAGCAAAAGGGAAATAAAGAAGCTATAGAAAAATGGAAATTAAAAGAAGGCTTCACCAAAATAGAACCGACTGATATTGACATTACTGCTTCAGCACAGTTAAGCCATTTTTCATAGCACTTCATCACGAGAATCACTCTCAAATCAGGAACAATAACCCAGAATAAAACAGTCAAAATCCACTATAGTCCATGAAGGGGAAAGTTAACATGGAGCAGTAGATAGTTTCCTTGTGTGCCTTCACTTTAACATTCACTACCATTTAGACTCTCTAAAAGAGACATATTTGAGTTCCCCAAAATCTTCTCTAAATCATAAATATAATAGAACAATGAGTCATATAATTGCTGCTACAACCACAACCACCATCACACAAATAAAACATGAATCGACCGAGCACGGCTTGAACACTAGATCCCTCTTCATAGGGAAACTACTGTTGACTAAATATATGGAGAAAAAAGGGTCTTACAGAACAGAGAAGTAGTAGTCCAATGACATGCCAAAACAAGATGTGTTACATCTTTGTGGATATGAACTGCATATACAGCTCCAATAGTTACTGGGTTGAATATTTATCTAAAAAACGTCTATTGTAATGCTCAACTATTATGTGTACACGTGTAATGCAATATCCACCTTGGAAACTCCTACGAAGTGCATATTCTAGTTCTTCGAACAGGGGTTTCTACCAGAAAAGCATAAGTTTCTTCCCATATCACTTTGCAAACAAGAGAAAACTTCAATTATTTTAACAAGGTATCACAAATCAATTTACTCCGTGCAGACTTCATGCCACTAAGGAAAAGGGAAACCATCGCCCTTGCAACTTAATGAGTCATATATTTCCATAGCAAGAATACTAAAATTGTTGATTATAACCTCTTTCAAACAGGAGATTGTAAATAAATAGCTCTACGTATGGTCTCAGAGGGATAATCCCGGTCCTTTAGAAAGGAAGGTTTTTCCTTTTTTTTTTTTTTGCCAAACTTTCAGCTCAAAAAAGGTTTGTCTTGTGTTTCCCAAACAGATGGTAACCGAAGAAAGCCTAAGAAAGAAGGTCAAGTTTTATAAAGCACAAGTCTTTTTTGCTTTTATATCTCAATCCTTCAACCTTCATGCTGCAGGTGAAGTGTCGAATCAAGAAATTCAACATGTGAAACATCAATTATTTAGCTAATTTAATTAATTTATACCACGAGTAACATTGTAGGATGAAAATTTGCATAGCAAATACAATGAAAAGGAACTTTCGGGTAGAGAAATTACATGCATTACGTCGATTCACTTTTATTGTTTAGTTGCCAGCATATTTTCAAACCATGTGGCTCCTAAATGAAGCAGAACGCATCAATTAGAATCTTTGATAAAGAATCGAGTTCAGTTAATACATTGAAATTTTGCATAATTTGGATTGATAACTATTTTATCAGTAATCTGTCTTGTACAATAATATATATTTTTCTTAATTTGGCCTTCTTAATTAATCGTTGTCCTTTCAAAGTCCCTGTAGGCCCTTTAATTTTTACATTATATTTACCTCATTTAGTCCGCATAAGATCCTACACCAAATCAATTAACTTATGAAACAAATAAAAGATCTTATTTTTCTTAACATATTTCCAATCCAAGTCCCTGTAGGCCCTTTAATTTAGTCTGCATAAGATCCTACACCAAATCAATTAACTTACGAAACAAAAACTAATACGTTAGATGCACATAAGCTTAACCGTGCACAAAAAGCCCATGAGCGTGATCCCATTTTCCATCAAAATCCTCAACAAACTCAAAAGGCAGTATTGAAAAAGGAAGCATGTATCAACACATTACCTTGTGGCTCATCCACAGTAAGGTCATCAATTTTATCCTCAACTTCTTCTTGCACGGCCTTCCCGTTCGCTTCGCTAATGCCATTCGATTGCTCTGACTTTCCGTCCTCCAGCGGGATTTGCTCAGTCAATCCTTCGGTCGCCATTTCTACAACGACGGCATTAACCAAAATTATTACTATTCATGTTCACGTGATTAAACTAATCTACACCCCCCAAAAAAAAAAAAAATCACGAAACAAATTATAAATAACATGAAATTAGGGCTGAATCAAATTTTGAAAATTTCAAAAACCTGAAAAGAATAGCACAAAAGAGTGAAGAATAATTTATCTATGCAAACATTCCAAACCTTAAAAGGCAATTGTTCGATTCTATTGAAATGGAAATGGGTGTCTGCAGTGGAAAATTTTGGGGCCGCTTTGACTGTTGCAAGGGAGAGTGGGAGATGAGTATTTATAATAATAAGGATTATTGTAATTGTACATTATGGATATGTAAACATAGCACCACCCTAATAATAATAATAATAATAATAATAGTGGGGATAGAGTTGCAAGATTACTATTTTAATTTTAGAATGTATTTTGTTGAAAGGACAAATTATTTTAGAATATCTAAATATTAATTATGTAAACAAATTAATATATTTTTATATTAATATATTTTTCCTGGAAGATTTAGCTCTCTTCCCTCTTGGTTCTTGACTATAGAGGTGTGGAGATGAAGTGGGATATTTCGAGTTTGTATGCTAGACTTAGGTTAACGGAGATGGAAGCTCAGGTGCTGGAGGTTGAAGAAGCAGAGAACGGGCTCTCGGTGGAAAAAAGGGCAAAGTGTATCGCTTTCAGGGTTCTTGTCGACCGGGAGGTGAATAAGGGGGCTTTGAAGAATACTTTGCTCCAGCTATGGCAACTCGAAGGTAAGGGGGTTATTAAGGAGGTTGGGCGTAATACGTTTCTCTTATAATTGGTTAGGGTTTCTGATAAGAAGAGGATTATGGTGAGTAGACCTTGGTCTTTTGATAAATCTCTGCTGTGTCTACACGATTGTGAAAATGTTAACAATTTAAAGGAGATTGCGTTTAATGAAGAGGTTTTTTGGGTCCAATGCCATTACCTCCCTTTTGCTGGTATGACGCAAAAAACGGGGTGTGCTTTAGGTGAGCGTCTGGGGAAGGTTTTAGTAGTTGATACGGATAGCAATGGGGTTTATTTAGGCGCATTCCTTCGTATTAAGGTTCTTTTTGATATCTCGAAACCTCTGATGCGGGGCTGTTTAATCAAACTTGGCAGGGACCAGTATTGGATATCGTTTAAATTTGAACGGTTGGCAAACTTCTGTTATCATTGTGGGCTGGTTTTTCATTCATCTGGTCGGTGTGTTCAGAAGGATCAAGGGGCTGCTATTGGGGAAAGGATTGAACAGTAGTATGGCCCATGGTTGAGAGCTACTAGGAAGCATTATGCAGGTATATCATTGCCGGAGGGGGCTGCTCAACCTCAGATGAATCTTCCTGTTTCTAACCCTGATCTTCCGCAGACTGGCATTGATCTTATTTCAGGGGAGACGGTGGTGGAAGACATTGGGAAAGACCCCTGTGCCGACATCCAAGAGATGGATAGTGGTGGGGATGCTCAACCATCTGGGAGTGAACTCATGGATTCGGGCCAGAGTAAAAACTGGAAAAAGAGGGCTCGTTCAAGCCCAGGTCCAGCCGGTCACCAGGCTATGGAGGAGGATGGATATGAGCCCAATTCTTGGAGCTCAAAAGGGCAGGAGGTTGAGGGGTCTGAGGTGTCTACTTCGAAAAGAATTAAATGAGTGCAGGGTGAGGTGGATGCCCCTCTTCTGGCAGTGGCTGCTGCCATCCACCTTAATGTTGGGATTGACATGGGTTAGGGCTTGGGATCCCTGGGTCAGATTGTGCGATTCTCTTGTCTGATGGTTATGGCCAAGTTCCCATTTTTGGTTGCCTGGTGGTGTATATTTGTTTCACCAGCTTGGGTTAGTTAGGTTTCTTCTCTCTGTTTGCTTGGGTTGGTTCTGTTGGGGGTGTATATATGTGGTTGTCCTGGTTGGTGGTGGTTGGGTCGATTGGCGGTGTTTTGATTTGGGTGGTGCTTCTTCTGGTTTCTTTGGATTGTCGCTCACCTTGTTGGTGAAGGGCTGATGAGTCATTATGATTGATGAAGATCCTGCTTCTGGTTGGTAGCCTCTGTTGTGGGTTTGGATCCTTTTGTTGGCTATCCCGTGTGGTTGGGGGCCGTGTCAGGTGGATTGTTTTTGGTTCGAGTGGTGGTTGGTTGTATCCTGTTGGTTGTTCATGACCTTTGTAATAGCTTGAGCTTCGGCTTTCGTCGCACGTAAACCCTCTTTGCAGGGCATTGTGTATGAGGTTTTTCCTTCGTGTACCTTTGGCTATTGCGATGTTCAATGAAATTCGATTCATTTTCAAAAAAAAAAAACATCTTAACATTGGGGTTCTATTATTTATATTTTTTGAACATTCAAATATGTTTTGAGTTCAATAAATTAGGGGCAAACGAAATAATCAGATATTATATACGTCAAACGTACTATATAGAAAATTATCCCTTCACTCTTTTCAAGACACGCTCCTTCAGTAATATCGATATGCACGAACAACTGACCTAAGTTAAAAATTTAATAGCAAGGCCAGACTACTTTAGAGAAGTTGCAAATCAAATAACCATCGTCTGTTATAATTCTTAAAATCTTTCTCTAGTAATCAATAAAACAAGCTTAATTACTTGCAAAGCAGCTAAAAATTGTATCTTATCCATGATACAACTTACCACCCTAAAAATACAAATATACTTCTCTTTTTCCTTCGAGAATTCTAGTAGACACATTTGTTGAGAATATCACAAATGCATCAATCACACATAGAATTATTGTTGATCTAAGGAACAAAATTAATATTAGTATAATTATACATCAAGAAAAAAATGCAATTGAACACTATTGCAGCACAACATTGACAAATGGAGCCTCGTAAAACTACTTTCTAAAACATCATTTTAAAAAATAACAAACTCTTGAATATTCTTATAAACAAATGATGACCTCACAAAAGTTTTCAGAATCAATAAAATACCAATTGAAAAAAGAAAAAACAATTTTTTCGTAAAAGAATTACAAACAATAACACCCATTCTTAAATAATTTCTTAGCATATGAACCAATTAAAATCAATAGCATTTCACAAACAAACAAAAGATGGAAAATATCTTATGGTACGAATTGATAGTCTTTCAAAGCGTACAACCAAATCATGTAAGCCTCATAATTAGTTAGGTTAGCTGGGTGTGATCAATGTATCTATATACCTTAACTCGTTAAACCTCAATGAAAGTTTATTATTTTTCAATATGATATAAGTGAACTTGGTGATGTAATCTTCAAAAATATATATATATAATGTTGTTTTGACAATAAATCTTTACAAAAAATCTAACAATTGTATGCTCAGAATTGATCATATTACAAATGAAGAATCTCGAAAAACTATCAATAAATTAATATTTCCCTTCTAACAGAATAACAAATGGAATTCAAAGCAAGTAGATCAAAAAAAAAAAACTTGATTAGATATAGGACAACATTACAAAGTCTTCAAGAATTCAAGTAGATCAGGTTAGTAAAACAATAAAAGAACATGCACAATCTTAATGCTTCACTTTAATTTGCTATCTGATGTTTCATTTGGAATTTCTTTTTTTCCTCAGCTTCCAAAACTAAGGTTACACATTTCCAAGAACATGCTTTCATCAGGTCGAGGTTTTCGGGTATTTGTAGGATTACTTTGTTCAGTTGGCTAGTAAGTACAAAATCCCTATCAAGGAATTAATTCTCCTCCCAAGAAAATAAGTGATTTCAACATATGAAGAACTTATAAGTTAAGATGAATTAGACTTGAAGAAAATTACTTGTAGGATTATGCTTGGTTACACATATTGTTGTGGTCACATTTTCTTCTCTTTCATTACTTTCAGAAATCATTCTTCAAGCAGTTCTACGGATCCGTCAATAAATCAGATTATACAACTCTGCGACTTGGTTTCATGATGGTGAAGCACTCAATTCACTAATTAAAAGTGAAGTTTTAGTTTTGTTTCTCAATGGGAATTTTATCGTTTCTAATCAATTTGCATTTGGTGCAGACTCACTGTAGGGGAAAACCAAAGTCCAACTTTTATAAGTACATGACTCGTGCTCTCGAACACGATTTTAAGAAAGTTGTAGGAATAAGGTAAGCTACACAATATTTAAAAAAATTCTACACTTCTAAAGCCAATTGCACTTGTTTTTCCATTTTTTTACAACTCAGAGTCTCTAAATTTAAATATCAGTGGCAGTTGGTATCTATGGGTTTTCGTGTTTGTTTTCTTGTTGCTGAATGTTTACGGTAAGACATTCTCGACTTTTTTTCTCAATTTTCTTTGGACTCGGTTTCTTATAAGTTGATAACTTACATTTTTTGTGCAGGTTGGCATGCATATTTTTGGATCTCATTTTTTCCCCTGATCATAAGTAGCGCTATCATAACGGCATGACTAACAAGAGATTTAACATGAAGTTGGACGATCAAATTGGAACAAGAAAATTTCTTTAACTCTTTGTCATATTAATTGTATGCAGCTTTTGCTTGCTGTGGACACTAAACTTGAGCATATTATCACACGATTGGCTGAAGAAGTTGCTCAAAAACATTCAGCTGTTGCAGGGGACTTGATAGTTAGGCCTTCTGGTGATCATTTCCGGTTCCAAAAATCGCGTCTTGTCCTTGTGTTGATTCATATAATTCTATTCCAGAATTCCTTTGAGATTGCTGTTTTCTTCTGGATGCTGGTAACCAAAAAAACCCATTAATTTTTCCTTTCTCTCCCTTTATTCTTTTTCATTAATCAAAATGGTGCAGGTTCTATTTGGTTTTGACTCATGCATCATGGGACAAGTTGGTTATATTGTTCCCAGACTTGTCATAGGGTATGTACATTGCACACACAAAAAAAACAGTAAATTTGGAGACATCTTAAGAAGAATAACAGAGACATTAACAAATTTGAAGGCAATATGGTGCAAGGTTTTTGTGCAGTTTCTTTGCAGTTACAGTACCCTACCACCGTACGCAATTGTCGCGCAGGTAAAACATTTCCTTAATATTCTTCCACCAGTTTAAGTCTGATGATAAAAGATTTCCTCTCTTTTCTTTTGGTGGTACTAATGAAGATGGGAAGTTCATTCAACATCGCCATATTTGATGATCATATAAAAGTTTCTGCGGCTGGTGGTGGCAGGGTTGGTGGCTCTAACCAAGTGGTGCGTCAAGATTCTCTTGTGGCTGTGAGATCAGTTGAGATGGTAGGAAAGGAAGATGCAGAGTCTGCATTGTATCAAGGCAAAGCACTAGAAATCCAGCCTGCTACGACTCTCCCATAATCAACTCGAGAGTTTGTTACATTCTTGAATGTGTTTTGTGTTATATTAAACAATAAGTTCCAATTCCTTGTAAATTTAGCAAACTCTAAAGTCAGGAATCAAAGTTGGATATTGTGTACAGTAGTTGATAGTCAGGAATCAGGATGATATGTTTCATGAATCATGAATATTAAGAAATTGTTGACCCCAAAAAATGTTGCTAACAGATGCCGGGCCCACTCGTGCACGTGTAAGCCTTGTCCAACACGTGTGTGCCGATGAACGGTCAGGAAGGCTCCAAATCTGGACGTGGGAGGAGCTCACTACACGAGACGTTAACGTTCGGGTCTCCGGCAAGATATATATAGAACACGATTGTATAAGGATCCAATCGGTGAAGAACGATTTGTAGTAAAAAATATGTTGTAAGAATCACTGCTGAAACGAGAGAAAATGTTGCTCCAATTACTCTGTACTCTTTTATATTTGGTATGAGAAATTTCATTACCCTTTTTGTGTTACATAGATGATAGTGAAGGCATAGGAACTGTCTTGAGGGCCTCGAAACAATAGCTAGGGCCTCGGGGCAATAGTCAGAGCCTCGGAATCTACGTCGGAGGCTAAGAGAACATATCCTGGTCTAAGTAAACTGGTCCCACCACTGAAATATGGTGCCACACGTCGCTTCTATATAATGACTCGTAACAATAGTTCCCCAAGTCCATGTGGTCATTTATGTCAGGCGTGGACTTTCAGTAAGTCAGAGAAAAAAAAGTTTTAATTTTTCGTACTTCACAGAAATTTTATCACGTTCTAATTTATAAATGAAAGTTGAAGTCGTAGTTTGGACTCTTATTGAAATAAAAATGAAATCTTTTGAACAATTTTTACCCCTCAGTTCAAAATCACGTAAGCGTCACTTAGTAAATGTTGAAACAATTAAATCCGACTTGGTAAATGTCATTTCATTTCATTAATTCTTGTTTAGATGAATAAGTGTCTATCAAGGCTTCAACTAGAAAGAATACCCTAAATCCAAATTCTATAGAAATTCTATTATAACTACTCTTTTCATTTAAGAACACGTTCATTTGATACTTTTTATAATAAAAATGCAACGTTTTCAGGTTAAAATCACCGTTAGACCCTCTATTCAGGCACAAAATTTTATAGCAATCACCAAAGTTGAAACTTGCTAGAGCTTGTTTGTCTCCCATTATTGGGAGAAAATTAGTGTAATAAATAGTATTTTTTGGAAAATGTGTGGTTGAAAATTAAAGTAACTTAATTGGTTTGTGTGTAAAATATTTTTTTTGGTGAATGTGTGGTAGAGAATCTTACTGTAGCAAACAATTTTTTGAATTAATGGTAGACAAACAAGGGCTTATTCTTTTAATTTGGTCATTTAGGTAAAAATCTAATTAATTTTTTTTCTACCAGAATGTTCGACAAGTAAAAGATTAATCAAAGTATCAAATATTGAAGTCTTCCAATTCGACCATTTTGTTAAGAAAACTAAAGGCAGGTTCTCTTTACTATTTTCAGACCATTTTCAGTTTTCGAAAACAGTGAAAACATGTTTACTTACCTATTTTCAGAAACGAATTTCCAAAATCGAATTTTTAATTTACAAAAAAAAAAAAGAAAAGAAAAGAAAACGTCAAAAAAGTCATTCAAGGTGTTTTCAGTTAAAATCAAACCAAAACTTCAAAACAGTTGAATTTTGCCAATAGCGGAATAGCTTAGTTTGGAGGGTCGCAGATTTTTTGAAAGTCCCGAATTCGATTCCGTTTCACCGCAATTCAATACAAATGAACTTTCCTTTTATATGCATTGTACAAAAGTTTTCAAATAAATTGATAGGTGGCTGAAATTCGAATTCGGGTCACAAACATGGAATTTCAACACTTCAACCACAATGACAACCACTTTTGCTTTGTTATATAAGTAGAAGTATATATATATATTGAATAATCAGTTTTTCAATTTTTCAAAATTAGAAAGGAAATGCGTTTTTCATTTTTTTTCGTTTTTGAAAACAATTTTTCAAAATGATAAAAAGAACGCGTTTTTAACAATCTCAAAATACACTCAAAACACAAAACCCAAAATGAATTCAAAACTTAAAACTAAAAATTGAAACACGAGGAGAACAAATTTTAACTTGGTTACCAACCTGAAACCAAAGAAGAAAACAAAACTCAGTTATCATTTTCTAAAATAGAGTTCAATGACACCCACCAATAGAGATGGCAAGACACTCCAGTCACAGTCCCACCCTGCCCCATTCGAGCCTCAATTTCACAGTTAACCAATGAATCCAGGTAGGGACTGGAATCATGGTGACTACCCTAACTCTAATTTTTATTTTTAATTTTCACCATTATGTTTTTAAATTTAAATTGTATTTTTAAATTTTAATAAGTAAAGAAGAAGGGAACGAGAAATGGAGATATTTTTATGTCCACCCAACCCAACCTTGTTGCCATCCCTATCCGCCAGCTACCGCTACTAAAGGCCGACTTATAGGAGATTTTGCCAGCTTGTAGTAACAAGCAATTGCCCAACTTTGTCCTGTGAAATACCCGTCCTTGCAATTAATACTATTTTCAGAAAAATCATTATAAAGGACTTGAACCCCCTCCTTATGTTACAACTACAAGACAAGCTCGAGTATGAATAGAGTGACTGACTCGCAAAGGAAAACAGTGGACAGAGTCATTCAGCATATATCAATCCAAGACTCTGAAACCTTCCATTAATAATCATCACCTCGGGATACCACTTCTTTGCAAGTCGGACGAAGTAGAATTGTATGCTCAAACTGAGATACATAGCTTCCCTTAATGTCACAGAGAGGAGGAATAGGCTGCCACAGATTAAACAAAACGTTCTGTCAATTTTTTACTTAATTTGAAGACCTGTATTGTAATAGTCGATACAACAAAAAATTTCCGCATTCTGACAGTCTATACATTGAATATAAAGTACAAGGTCACCGGCTTCAGCAAATTCAAACGTGTAGCACAATGCAATGGCCAGTAACAAAACGGAAGTTTCAAGAATTTTCATCAAGTGATGTGGAGCACCACTTGAAAATGAGGGTGGCACAACAATGCATTTTCAGTAAATGAATAGTGCTTGGAGTGGATTCTCGAGCTTGATCTTGGGTGATATAGGGTTTGATGGAGTGCATCCCCAATAAGCTATTGTTTTTGGAAAAAAATAGTTTCATCTCTCTACATCAATTGATATCAGAGATGGAGACTTTCTGTTTGATTCTCCAAGGAAAGAAGAATGATGTGGAGCATCAATAGAAAATGAGGGTGGGCCAGTTTTGAAAGGGAGTCTTCGACATAAAGCCCAAACAAATAATGCTTGGAGTGAATTCTCAGGCCTGATCAATCTTGGGTGACATGGGGATTGAATGTAGCTTTTGGGATAAATGATTGCATATAACTTAAGCCTCTACTGGATCTAAGCTTCTGTTGAGAAAGCCTCCACTCTTCTTTTGGGAAAAGTGGAAAAGTAGCTGCAACTCCCTACAAGTTGAGAAAGCTCATGACAGCTGAATTTATGCAAATAAAGAATATAGGTTCAAGCATAGATAAAAAATTTTGATTGTTCCTTGGTCCAGACCACTTTTCAGTCTCATATCTTTCAAATTATTATGAAGTACTTCGGATTGCTAACATTTAGAAGCAATAAAGCATCAAGCAACTGTTAATGTACATGTATGCATTGTGTGGTAGTCACAGACTAAAACAGGAGGACACATACCTGGACGATACCAGCATCACACAAGTTCTTTAGTGCCATCAGATATTTAGTTTCTCCTAAGCGGTCAAGATAACGTCTGCAGAAAGCCAATGTAGAGAAATTCTTATTAATTGTTGCCAGTAGTTGTTTTGCTCTAGGTAACCGCAGTGGAATGTGACCAGCATCAAAATTCTTCATATAATGGCTGCATTCAAGATCTTCTCTGGCATATCCCTTCCCTGCACGCAACAAAAGGCAGGCAAAAAGGTTTGTACACAGTTCATCCACCGAAACCATGTCTATCAGATTCAACCGCATAGATCCACCCTTTATGGAAAGAAGACGTTACCTGTGGATCCAAAAGTTTCGATTGCATAAAATTCACCCTCTTCCATTTTTGTTTGCTCTCCCCCTCTCACAATAGGAACAGATTTCGCCGCATGGATTTGATAACATCCAATGCTATGGCCATTTAAATTTCGGATACTTTTAACTGCCAGAACAGACAATTAGTGGAGCTTGACAGTTAATTGTATGAAGGCCATAAAAATTTTAAAACGTTTCAAAATCCTATAACTGAGTATTTGCTATGTTATCGGGACCATAAAAGATAAGGGAAGCAGCACATGTTTTTTATTTTCAGTCAGCAGTTAATCTTTTTTCCTACATATGGTTATCAACTTATTTCTTACAAGCCTTGAAAGTATAATAACCAAGATGACCTCCAATTTTGGCACAATAAACATTTATTGATCTCCAAATATCTAAATATAGAACTTAATCTAGCTTTAATTTGTCTGACAATTTCAACATATGAGAAGGCACGAACCAGCATAGTGCTCAAAACATCAGGATAACAAAACAGAAATGCATCTCATACAAGCTTACATAAATTTAGCCAAGGGATATACCTTGGAACACCTTTCCATTGATTTCAACCTCATATGACTCCATGACCTCTTGAATTGCAGACCCAACGTCACCGAGGCGCACATCAATCCCAGCTTCCTGTTTCAAAACAAAATTTCATCAATTGCTCCTAAATTTTCACCAGAAATCTAAGCCAGATAATTTCACATTTGGCCCCTGTTTGAACCACGTTATTTTTTTCATTCTCATTCTTCTACTCATTTTCAACCACACATTTATTAATAAAATAATATTTTCCATCATATCAATAACTTTTCCTTCTTTTTCAATCACATATTTCTCATCACATCACTTCAAAAAAATGCAGTCTCTCATTTTAATGTGCACCAAACGGGC